CCTTTTCCGATCAGCTGTGTTTTCACGTCAGTGGCCATCTCACAAACTCGATCAACAACCGTATTGCTGTCAAAATGTACATATATGCAAGCATCTGCTTGTATCTGGACGCAAGACGTCATACACAATCATCAAAAAGATTGCTTGGAATGAAATAGGCCTCGATGGGCTTTCAGGTCAAATTTGATAAAGAATAAACAGAGGTCTATTTGATATAGTTTGCTCTGCCAGTATCGTTACCAGACCCGAGCAGAGTAGTTCAGACCCTGCAGACCAAAGGACCTCTGTCTTAATGTTATAATGTTAGTGGGTAAAGATTGATTGGTCAAACACTTCGATAGATCTCGTGTCAGCCCGACTGGACGTTCTGCTAACAACACTGGACCTCATAAGGGTAAGATATATTTAAATATAACTAAAATGAATTGAAAAACAACATTAACACTGCATTGCATAGGCCTACATCGTATCAAAGACAATACAAATAGCCCTGTTTTCACGACGCTTAACTTCGTATTCCGAGAACTTCTTGACTGTCTGTTTAAGATTATTTTGTATCATAAGGTAATTCAATATTTTCAAAGAGATGGCTGACTGGTCTCCTTTATATGGACATAAACAATATGTGTGCTTGTAGGGAAGGTCAAACCATCTCGTCAAACCAGGCCACCAAACATGTCAGTATAACAGTATTATCGTATTTATCAATTCCATTAGAACGTTTTGCTAACAATGACGTGATTCTTTGGAGTTGGATCACAATAGCGCGCGCGGTCGTAGAGAGTGTAAAAGGAAGCTGAAAATGTTTCTGAGTGTTCTCAGAGGGTCTGCTGGGGTAATAATAGTTGTAAAGCGCATAGAGCAAGCTCTTGAGCATGGATATGCGCTATATAAATGCAATTATTATTATTATTATTAAATATTGGGGTCGTGGTGGGGTCACAATTATAGTGTTGCACCTATTTCTCACAAGAACAAGAGACGAAACACATAGGGGGTTACGTTCCCTTTTACTTAAATATTAATTTGGGATCTTATGTGACTAATTGTGAATAAATTTACATAGGCTTAACTGACATGAAAATGGCAAAAGCGTGCAAGTATGAGAAATCATGCCTAGATGAAATCATCTATCTGCTACAAACCTGACATAATCCTGAGAAAATGAGCTTTCATTCTTCTTTCACTTTTAGTAAATAAGTGTAATTGCATGGATTTAATCAACGCCGTTTTCAACACTGTTAAGTCATTTGAGACCTCGGAATGTAATGTCGTCTCCGACAGGACCGAGCCAAAATAAGAGAGCCTTGACACTCCACATAACGAACCGAGTTCGAGAACGACAGTACTGTTAGGCTTTTCTTGTAGACAACCACTTCAAAGTTTAGTCTCAAGACCCCAAACCAAAAAAATGAAAAATCTAAATCCCTTGCCCTGTGAAGTGATATAATATGTGTTACGTTTTACACCTAAATAAACAGGAAAAAGAGCGAGAAAGATTTTTTTTTCTTTCTATGGTGTAGAAATCAGTTTTGAAAACCTCCGCTCTCCTACTCCAAAATGAATCGACACATCATTTTACTCTTTTGCGTGCAGGATAGTTAGAGTAGGCTACCAGCAACACCCATCGAGCTTTCCCAAATTACAGTTAGAACGTCCCTTTGATTCCTGGACAGCAGATATTCTGACAAATGATTCAGTTGCTATATTATTATAGATTTTGACAGCCAGTAATGTTTGAAGAAAGTCCTCTCAAAATTACGTTTTCAATCTGAGAAGTAAAAGGAATATGGTCGACATGTTTATCCTGTCCTCCACGTTCCATAAAACGATGTTGCTCTACTCCTGCACTGTTTGCTTTTAATTTTTTCATCAATTGAAATGACTTCCTGAAGCTGGTTTGAGTTTGGGGGAAAAAACACGTTTGGCCTGGGATCTGATGGTGCTAAAAGCTTGGTGCTTTATTATAATAATATCTTAAAGTCACTGCTTTTCTGAAATTCACGTTTTCGTGTATGTTTGCCACTGCAGTCGATATCACGTACGGCACATAAACTAACCAAGTAGTTTCTAAGAAACATGTAAACAGTTCGCGACCTCAGTGCTTTCTTGTCGTATCTCCGTTTTTAATAACAGGGAAAACAGTTCATAACAAAGAGTGAGCCTAAAATTAAAATAAGAATTCACATTTTCACAGTTTTAAAAAAATGGAGATGCGTCAAGAAAGCACTGAGGTCACGAGTAGGTATTTTATAGGCTACCATACCAGGTTACTGCAGGTAAAAAATGTTGATGCCCCTTTGAAATAGTACCACAACTGTGATGGACGACTAAAGTTATATCTGTGGTGAAATAATTGCCAGGATCATATGGGGTAAGGCTTATCTTTAGGACTCAGGTAATGCGATATCGGAAAGCTCATTCTAACCGTACTGGAGACTGGACCATCAATCTGCTTCACGCACTCGAGACGACCAGGCTGTGGGAGAAAGCAAACATGACGTCACAACTGGCCGGGGCTGACCAGGCCAACTCATGTCGTTTCACAGGGACAACATCGATTCTTTAAGTACAATATTTGACATCACCAAATACAAACTGCCTCTTACATCTGTATAAATCATTTATTCCTCTTGCTGTCTCTGTTGTCCTTTATCAACCCTCAGTGTGTCGGCTGTTCATTTGATGAATTGAGTGGCTGTGTGTTTGTGACAGTATCTTTATTTTCTCTCTCTCTTTCTCTCTCTCTCTTTCTCTCTCTCTCTTTCTCTCTCTCTCTCTCTCTCTCTCTCTCTCTCTCTCTCTCTCTCTCTCTCTCTCTCTCTATCTATCTATCTATCTATCTATCTATCTCTCTCCCTCTCACACACACACACACACACACACATACACACACACACACACGTGCAAATTCACACACATGTACACACTCACTCTCTCACCCACTCCCTCTTTCACACACATGTTATAGAAATGCACGTGTCATACAAACATTATTGTACGTACGTTTACAATTTTTTTTAAATAGGCATATAGTTCACATTATAAGGTAGGTATTATTTAAATAAACATTGTTAACAACAATGATGCTTCATTTAGATGTAATTTTAGTAATGCTTTAAAGTTAAAGCAAAGAACTCTCTGGCTAGAGGTAATTAGAAATATCCATTTCACACAACCGGCTCGAATCATTTCTTGTGTTCTTTTCTTATCTCTCCTCCCGCGGCGTCCTGATAGAAGAACAAGAAATGAGCCCGAGCTATCCGTAATTATCCACATCGTAATATATCGGTATGCAGCAAGGAAATGGAAAACACTGGCATCAGCACAAACAACAACAGTTTATCAGAGGAGCTCTTCACGTAAATGACGAACTGGATTTTTTAAAAAGGTTTTTAAGTGGGTGTTTTGTGTATTTTGCTTTTTGTTTTTGTTGGGGTTTTTTTATTTTGTTTTGTTTTGTTTTGGGGGTTTTCCGGAGGGGGGGGGGCGGTTTATTGCCTTAATATGGGACTTTTATGCCAACTTCACCACAATTTATATCATTTAGGAGGCGGGCTTCGACTTTGCCTGTCATGACCAATCCGCGCAGGATATCGTGCTAGCAGAAAGACTCGATAAAAACATTCTTTCCTCTCTGGAATCGAACTAAATTCTTCTATGTGCATGACAAAGCGCTTAATAGCCGCTACAGCACAAACGCTGGTACACGTGTTGCGATGAAGAGAGCGTGACAATGTGTAGGCCTACAGATTGAAAAAGCACTTACTTACTTACTTACTTACTTACTTACTTACTTACTTACTTACTTACTTACTACCCGTTACGCCATCTGGCGTTTAGGGCAGCAACAAAGGATCTCCAGCCCCATCTGTTTTGGGCCATCGTGTCTTCATGAAAAAGAACACATTATCAAAATAAGAGGCTTTGGGAATGGGGAAGGTAATAGAGAGAAATGTAAATCGGAACAAAGAAAGAATCGACAATCCATAAAAAAGAATAAACAAGGCAGAATATAAATGGCATGAATAAATGAATCGAAAAGCGATTAACAATCTGCCTTTTGCTCCGCGATGGGTAGACAATTCAGACAGGCCTTATTGCACAAAAAGCTCTTACGACAAGGGCGTGAAGAGTTCTTTGGAAGATGGCTCTTGACATTAAGTAGTTAAGCAAGCTTGATTTACAGATCAACCCCCCCCCCCCCAATTTATATTATTATTGTTATTGTTATTATTATTATTATTATTATTATTATTATTATTATTATTATTATTATTATTATTATTATTATTATTATTATTTAAAAACTATTCTTCTTCTTCTTATCATTATTAGGCCTATTTTTATTACTATTTTTTTTTTATTACGCCTATCACTGTTATCATTTTATCGTTGATATTATTATTATCATTATTATTAGCCTATACATTTTTTTAAAGTTAAATGTTCTTTTTTATGATTAGGCCTAATAGGGGAAAAAACAAATAAAATAAAACACAAAAAACACGATTTTTCGCCTCTAGGCTAAAACCCTCTCTAAGTCATATGAGGACGCAATCTATTCTTTTAACAACTAAGAAGCAACGAAGAATTTGGCCCTACATGTAAGATTAATTTTTCAGCAAAACAACGATGTTTATTATATAGCCTAAATAATCAACAGATAAAAAAGCATCTTACAAATTAAACTATCAGAAGTATTATCAACAGAAGAATCAAACTCTGCTGAAGTGGATAATTAAAGGAAAAATGTTATCTACCTGTAGCAACTAGATCTCTATATCTACTTCTACCCGTCTCCCCAATAGCTTGAGTGAGAACTACAGAGTTACCCCCTTCAGTTACTGCCTATATAATAGTGTTCACCTATGGTGAGAACCCTTCTCAAACGAACCAGAGAGTCTCTGAACGAACTGACAAAATTGTGCCATGTAACTCTGCACAAAGATTTGAGCGAGTTGACAATTATCACAGTAGTCTCCCCTTGGTAACCATGGCAAACAGACGCCATTGAATTCTGTGGAGAGATTGTTAGCAGACCGAAACATACAAGATGGAGGAGGAAGTAGCCACTGGAAGTGACAATATTGTCACTGAATTCAGCACTTATGAAGATTTTTTAGATTCACAGATCAATTCTATGGATGTCTACTACTTAGAAGTATGTGTGACGGTAAAATAGTTAAGCCTAATAATTAAGCATGCTTTGACTTTGGCTCATCAAGCTTTTCTAAACAAGCACTTTGTAAATTTCGTTGTTGGAGTCTTATATTTCTGAGTGCAATACTATCAATGTTGTTGTCGGCTGTCAGACTCAATGAAATATCGGTGTTGATAATCAAATATTGACAAAGGCCACCTCTATTCTCACCCAGGGTGAGAATAGGGCAGGCGAGTCTTTTGGCTATTCTCACCCGATGGGCGTTCACCGTTATAGTAGCCTAGGCCAACCAGTGAAGCGTTCACCCTGAACCACATCATTCTACACTGTGATAACAGAACTATAGAATTCTGTGCTGTGAACAAACGTTCTAGATCTATTACTACTGTTAGTGTTAGCCTAAAAGTGTGCAATTTTGTCTGTGGGCAGTGGAGAGAGAAAAAGAGAGAGAGAGAGGAGTAGCGCGAGAACTTCCGGGCAAAACAAAATGGCAACCTGCGTAGTTCGGCTCCTTTCGGGAAGTTAAATAGCAGTAGCATCTTTGTAGACAACCAAATTAATTCAGTTTTGTTTTTAACATTATTTTTAAACTTTGTTTTGGTCAATTTGATCGTCCACACCGATAGACGATATTCAGAAAGAGACAGAGAGAGAAAGAGAGTGGGGAGGAGTAGATCTTGCGAGAACTTCCTGGCAAAACAAATTGGCGACCCGCGTAGTTCGGCTCGATTCGAAAAGTGAAGTAGCCATAGCATCTTTGAAGACGATCAAATTAGCTTACTTTTCTGCTATAACGTAATTTTTTCTTGGCTTTTATCAATTTGATCATCCACACCGATAGACAGTATTCCAAAATGAGGAAAAACAGGTCTTGTTTCACACCGGGTGAGAATAGCCTACGCTGGCAAGTCTCACCCGGGGTGAGAGGTAGATCGTATTTTTATTCTCACCCCGGGTGAGAATAGCCACTTCCATTGACAAAACTAAAGAAAAAAAAAATGTTAGACGTCTATAGCACAAAAGTAAATTAATTTGGTCGTCTACAAAGATGCTACGGCTATTTCACTTTTCTAATCGAGCCGAACTTCGCTGGTCGCCGCTTTATTTTGCCCGGAAGTTCCTGCTACTCCTAATTCTCTCTCTCTCGGATCCCTCCCTCCCCCCCCCCTCTCTCTCTCTCTCTCTCTCTCTCTCTCTCTCTCTCTCTCTCTCTCTCTCTCTCTCTCTCTTTCTCTCTCTCTTTTCTCTCTCTCTCTCTCTCTCTCTCTCTCTCTCTCTCTCTGATCTCTCTCTCTCTTTTTCCCTACCCACAGACAAAATTGCTCGCTTTCGACACAGGATTGCTGGACCGTTTGTTTACACTGGTATCATATGGTGAACGCACAGCGGGTGAGAATAGCCAATTTAAAAGGCTCGCCTCTCACCCCGGGTAGAGGCCTACAATTGGTTTTTACGCTTAGGCCTACTCTTAGTATAGGTCTACGGAAGGCTATCCCTCCTTTCCCAACAGCCTGTTTTGTAATCCAAGTTTTCAGCATGACAATCTTCCTTTCAACTACAATCCTACTACACTGATAGTCCTATGCATAAAATAAACTCTGAACTGTGCGGAAATGAAAGACCCAAACAATAAACGAGTAGCTTGATTGTAGATAAATAAGGTTGATTTGCTGGGGTTTGGTAGATTTTTGTTTTGACTGTAATAGACCAGCAATGCTGTGAGCCAGTTGAATAAGCACACTTAAGAGTTAAAGAAACAAATTCATTATAAAATGTGTCTACAAACAACAGGCTACACGTCAACAAGGGTTTTCTTCTTCTCAGATTTGCTAATGAAAGTTAAATTGGTTTTCAGTAACAGGCACCAGACTAGTAGTCTATTCTTCAACCAGGCTTAATCAAATCTCTCATAATATAATTTACTTTAGAAAGAACAAATATTATCAACAGTAACATATGCAGCATTCTTCATACCTTAGTAATAGTAGGACTGCTGTGTAAGAATTCTCGATTGTAACAGTCAGTGTATGTGAGGCATAGCCTACATAAATGCAGCTATCCGTAAAATTATTTCCTCATGTTTTAAAAAATAACTGTGAGAGAACTTGAACAGATGGATGACAGCATAAAAGACCGGGATTATATTGTATATAGCTATATAGGTATTTTTGAAGCCATTCTAATGAAAAAATAAGTAGTGAACCATGATTTCATTATCTGTTTCTGAACTGACAACTGAAGAATGAATTTTATCTTAGAAAGTAATCTTGATTAGAATTTTTCAAGTAAAGCTCTCTTTGAAATTAGTTTTGAAGCAGAGCTGGGCGCACTTTACCTTTCAACTTTTACGATTTTTGTGCTATTCACAGGTATTCAAAGCGTGGTATACGTAGAGCCATTCAAAAGTCATCTAAACTTTACAGACAGTCTACAGGGTTTTTATATTATTTTTCTCAAATTTGTCGTAAAATTATAGTATATCACATTAAAAAATCCTTGAGGTAATACAGTAGGCCTACTTGATGATTAAGCAATAAAGTTCTAAGGGAAACTGACAAGAGTTACAAAACATGCCTCTTATAGGTATATATTTACTATTATTTAGAATTCATATTTACTATTATTTAGAATTCCTTAGTCTTACCATGAATAGCTCAAGGATGCATGGCTCTCAAAGCACATCGAGTATGTTTTTTGCAAGAAAGTAGACTGGTGCAATTAGCTTATCTTCCCTGTTCAAAATTCAAAACGTGATATGAATGGTGATGTTATGTCATAATATTGCACTGTGTGTATACTATGGCACACTCTGCGAATAGCCCAGTGAATTGTTAATATTGAGTAGCAAAATCTGCTGATGGATTTAAACTCGTAGAGAGGTAAAAAAACTTTCGCACATGATATTCAAAAAGCATGACCGGTAGATAGTTTCCTCAAAATTGAATTGCACACTTTGAAGACATTTTTAGTTGAATTTTTTTCCGTCGTTAGTCTTCTTCTTTGCATTCCCTTGCGAAATCTCAGGGGTGTTCTTCTACCTGCAGCGCAATTGATTTTTATGTATATGATTGTTTTTCCTACTTCATAGGGCCTCTTTCCTTCAGGCAGCCACATTTCTGTTTCGGAGGTATTCTGACATTTTTTTATACCGCCTGGAGTATTTTCAGTTTTGGTAGAAATCAATTTCGAATTTTTCCAGGATGGCAACCCAAGCTTAGGCCTACTCTAATTTTGGGGCCACCAAGGGGTCTTTAAAGTAGAGCGCAACTTGCACACAGAACCTCCGAGAATTTTTGCCATTATCCAAGAAGGCTTGGTGCTTGATCTTACCTACCCTTAGATCAGGGATGTTGCTGAAAGACAGTAGTAAGAAAGGGCCAATACATATTGTAGTAGCAGTAAAAGTTTTGCTGTCAGTGAAAAGAAGGATTGTTTTCATGCATTTTTGTAGCTTCTGATAGTGAAATGAAGAAGACCATAATAAGCTAATTATGTTTATTTATGCTATAGGCCTACAGTCTTACAATCAGAGGGATGGTTGGCAGTTCTAATTTGAGGAGAGCCCTGTAAGACCAGGTTGTGTGTAGATTCAGAGACACCTAATAAGGGTTTGGCTTGTGAGCAAAGAGTTAAGGAAAGCATTTTTTTCAATGTTGTTTTTTTTTGGAAAGGGGGGGTGGGGGTTATTGGCAAGGGACATAGGCCTACTTATTGTCTATTACCTTTGAAATACAAACAAGAATATGGCTTTGTACGGCTTCTCATGAGGGCAATATGGCTCCTACAACTAATACACATATGCAGTCTTTTGTGTCTAAAAGAGCTAATAAGTTTTGAATGAAACATGACAAAATTTAAATTTCTGTGCCTCCATATTTTACTACCTGAAAAGGAGACCTTTTTATTCTTTGATACTGAAACTAAGTTTGGCTGTGCCATTCAAAAGGTCTTTTATTGTGCAAGATTGAAAGTAATAAGTCACATTTCATTATGGTTTAGAAAGAGTCATTAATTTTATTCCTGTTCTTTATCCATTTCTAAACAATGGTAATCTATATTCAATATTTACCTTTCAGGATCAAGAACTTGCTAGACAACTTGTTGAACTTGGCTACAGAGGTAGTGGAGAAGTTTTGAAACGTGAAGAATTTGAAGCCAGGAAACAGGCAGCAGAGGCTAGTAGGCTGTCAAAGCGAAGTCAGCAAAAGTAAGTGTGCCATATTTCCCTAGCAATGTCATAATATATGTCACGACGTGGTGGAATCAGGCACTCATCATTTGGGGGCGTGCGGTTATTGGAATCATTTCGAAGTTTGCTCATTTATCTATCTTTTGATTTTAAAAATACCCATCTATCTTGAATAGACGTCAAGATATTTCTGATTGAAAGAGGCGGGGGTCGCCTGGTTTCAGAGGTAAAATCAGTGAGAAAATGGCGGCCAAAGTTTGGTGACTTTCATAATTTGAGTGTGCTTGGAAACTTGAATAGACCCTATTACATTTTCTTCTCTTTTAATTAACCATTTTCAATAAAATCCTCACAAAATTTTATTTCTAAATGGATGTAAAATGTGTTGATCCCAAAATCCTATAAAAATTGTCCAACGGATTGAAAAATGTATGCTTCATCAATTTCATTATTTTAACGAGCACATAATGCCTCACATATACTAAATGTATTTGCTGTTGGGGAACAATTATTTCTGTGAGGCTACATGGCTAGTAACTCTAACAAAACAGTGGATTTGGATGATGAAAATTATGGTTTTTACTTTGACTTGTAATGGAGGACAATGAAGGGTTGAATGTGAATTCTTTGTTTTCTAAATTTCAATAGCCTGATTTTGAAAGACAAAATAGGTTCTGTAGAAACAGTAAATTGTCCTCATTTTATATGTATAATACATATTATGTAACTCTGTCGTTTGGGCTCAAGTCTTCTTATCATTTTGGAGAATATGAAGAATCTTAAATCATCATTTCATCCGATTTGTAACCTTTATTTTCATTTTGTGAAGCAAGATAAAGTAAAAAACTGTATTTTGTTTTGTTTTTCTTTTGTCCAGAAAACTTGCTAGTGATGAGAAAGTTATCAACGACCCTCTTTTGGCAGCTCTCGCTGCTAGAGAAGCAGGCAACAGGAATGGAAAAATGACAGTAAGGCTTTTTCTAACGTGTCTTGCTAAACACTCTTCATTAGTCTTGCTTCTGATGAAAAAATACCCATCTATCTTGAGCAAAAGTTGGGTTATTTGCAACTGAAGGAGGTGGGGGTCCCCTGATGTCAAATTTAAGATTAGCGAGAAAATGGCTGCTAAAGTTTGGTGACTGCAAATTTACACTTTTTGTGGCTTTGATCAACGTTTTTCAGTAAAGTTAAACTGAAAAGAACCGTCCTTTTGTTTGAAATATTTCCTAGTCTAATAACAATGTAACTATTTGTGGCTTTGATCACTTTGTTGTTGTTGTTGTTGTTGTTAGCGATCCAGTAGCATCTGAGCGTTAACTCTTCTGCATGATGCCATTCGGTAATAGTTGCATGTTTGTTCTAACTGTTGTCTTGAGGAGTAGAGGCAATTAGATGTGTGGGGTAGCTTGGGAAGAAAACATCCCCTTAAATCAGTTAGTTTTCTACAGAAAAACAGATGATGTTCCACTGTCTCTGAGGGGTAGTCACATAGTGGGCAGGCAGCAGACTGCTTTACTCCAATTCGGTTGAGATGTTGGTTGAGGGGTACATGTTGTGTTCTAAGTTGGAAGATTATGGATTGATCTCCCCTCCTCAACTCATTGATTGGATCTTTGACCAGTGGTTTATTCATGTGGCCATACATCCTCCTTCCTGTCATACCTGTGGCCCAATCATTCATCCACTCTTCCTTGAGGTTTGACTTGATCATTTGGCTGCAGGTGGTGTAATTCGTAGGAATTTTTGATCACTTTAAAGTAAAGTAAAATTGAAAAGAAATGTCCCTTTGTTTGAAACATTTCCTCATCCAAGCATAATGTAAAAATTCAGAGAGTAGGCCTGTAACTTTAGTTTTGTTGAAAACACATTGCAGACTTCTATTCACTTTTTTGTTTTGTTATTTTACAGTCTATCGTCTTCATTCGAGACCGGAACCCGAGGGGCCAGGAGATATCAGGCTACATCGACTATGCCTACAGGCTCAAGACTGAAGACTTTGAGCCATATTTCAGCTCTAAAAAGAGGCTTTTACCTAGACCTTCAGATCTAAGGTAAAATGAATATTCTGAGAATATTATTGTCCTTGTTTGTAATTTTCAAGTAGTACTGAGGGGAGGGAAAAAATTTGATAAAATGTCTTCGAACCTCACTTGAAAGCCCCTGCTAAGGACAGACCTGGATGGGAGATTAGTATGGATATGAGGAGGTTCAACCTCTGGATAGCAATGTCATCACACATCAAGACCCCTTCCAAAAATTGTCGTTAAAAAAATTTCAAAATGCAAACAACTGGGCAACTGTACGCTTTCTTTAGAAGTCACTTAGAAAGCACACTCTGTAAGTTTTACATGTTCCAAAACTGTTGTGTTCAAGCCACTGGGGAATAGGATGTGGTTCAGGGAGGTAGCTGGAGCTTTTTTTTGGTGCTATATTAGTTCACTGCCTAACTAGATGAAAATATAGGTTGATCATTTGGCAAAAATGTGTCTGATTAAAGAAGGGAGGAGAAAGTTCACACAATATATTTTATAAGTAGGCTGCCCACAATAGGCTATGTTGTTGTTGTTGTTGTTGTTGTTGTTATCGATCCAGCAACAGCTGGGCTCTCGCCCTTCTGTCCAATGCCATGTAATGATAAGTGCAGGTTTGTTGCAGTTGCTGTAATGTTCCATAGAGTGTGTTGTCAATGTTAGGTCTCGGAGGGAGAAGGGTAGCTCTGATGTCATTTAGGGCTGTGCAGTGGAACAGGTGATGCTCCACAGTCTCATATGCATAGTCACACAAGAGACACATTGGGGGAAGTTCCGGATTTATTCTGTTCAGGTGGAAGTTGAGCTGTATATGTTCTGTTCGTAGGCGGAAGATCGTGGTCTGTTTCTTTCTCTGAAGGCGGTTGATATTGTCATTCCTTTTTGTTGTGGTCATATGTTTGAAAACTGCTCTGCCTGTCTTTCCCAGGGCCCATCTGTTCATCCAATCTTGTTTGTTGTTGCTTTTGATGATTTGTTTTGCAGTGTTGTATGAAGTTGGAGTGTTGGGTTATTCCTGTCTAGATCCCCGTTAGGCAAGTGTGTCTGCTCTGTCATTTCCAGGTATGTCTGAGTGTCCGGGGACCCACTGCATTACTACGTTGATGCCACAGAATGTTATAAGATGATGGGATCCAAACAGTATATGGGTCAAATCTTGGTTAAGATGATGGTCATTTTCTATGGCTTGTATACTGATAGTGAGTCAGTGAAAATCACAATACTCTGTGCTTTTCCAGGATGAGTGTCAAAAACTGTGCAGAGATGGTACAGTGCTGTTTCAATTGCCATCATTTCTGCATCGTAGTTGCTGCATTTCTCTCCACAGGCTGCAGAGATCTCATTGGAACTTCCATCTGGGTACTGTATTAGTATTCCATATCCGGCTTTGGTTGTGCCTTTGAATGCTGAGCCGTCCGTATAGACGTGTATCCAGTCATCTGAATAGCTGTCGATTGTTTGATGTGATGCAAGCATCAGCGTCACTGGGTCTGAAGATTTTGTGCTCTTGTCTTTGAGAGATGTTGTAATGATTGGCTTTCTTAAAAAAAGGTGGGGAGGGATGTTTTGGTTGACTCTTTTGGTTTCTTTTCTGTTTTGTGGTAGATGGTGGCTCTCCATTAGTTCTGTGATGTGATGCATGATTGACTTTTGTTGAATTCGTTTCTTTGGTTTCCATGTTTCTACTAATTTCTTGTTTGGGTGGTTGGGGCACATTCTTTTAGTTCTTTCATGTAGCTCCAAAACCGCTTTATCTCTGTGGATTCCCAGGTGTTCAACATTTGCAAGGATTTCGCACGCGGTGGTAGGTGTGGATCTCATGCCACCATTTATAAAACGAAGGGCATTGTTTTGGACCTTGTCAAGGGTGTTGCAAGTAGTTGTACTGCACATAGTGAGTAGGCTATTGCTGTATTCCAGGGAAGATCGGACATAACTCAGGTATAGAGCTCTCAGAGTTTGTTTGTCCGATCCCCATGAACTGCTTGCGAGTTTCTTTAAAAGTTGGAGTCTTTTTTTTTGCCTTGTTCCTTATGTTCTCCACTTGGCTTTTTATGGTTAGCCTATGGTCAAGTTTGACTCCTAGGTAAGTTGGATGTTCTTCTTTGGGGAGACTTTCGTTTCCTATCTTTAGTTTGAGATTTTCTTTGGCTGCTTTATGGCTCTTCGTGAAGATGGTGTA